ATAAACGGTTAACAGGCCGCATGGGGTGTCATTTCTGTATATTATTTGTCTGTACGCGCACTTTGACATTATTTTTTTTATTTTCAATATTATTTATTCGTCGCTATGGCAACACGAGATTATTTAAATGACCCAAACACATTCTGTTATATTTGTGGTAAAGAAACAAAGGCAAAGCATTAAAGAATTCGTAAAGAAAGCGTATTACGCGTATTTTGGAATGAAACTTCGGGACCAAGACAAATCATAGGCTCCGCACAAAGTTTGAACCATTTGTGTCGAAGAGTTGAAACAATGGACTAAAGGTAAGAAAAAGTATTTGCCTTTTGGAATTCTGATGGTCTGATGTGAGCCTCGAGACCACGGAGATGACCGCTAATTTCGCTCATGTAACTTACAGGGCTACAACACTCGAAATAAAAGGGAAATTTCTTATCCGAACCTTCAGTCTGCTATAAGACCTGTTGCTCATGGACCTGATGTACATGTACCAACTCCACCAGAGACTCTTGATACAGTTTCATCTGATTCTGAGTCTAATGTCAATAGAAATGATGATAAGGATTATTTTCAACCTGAAACGTCTGGTGAACCATAACTTTTCCCACAAGGTGAACTTAATGATTTGGTGAGAGATTTGGGCCTTCCAAGGGATTCTTCAGAGACTTTAGGGTCCAGACTTCGGGCTAAGAAGGGACATTATTTTACTGGTACAGAAATCGTGAGAAAGAGTTTATACCATACTTTGCGTAAGAAGGTTCACTGGTATATTGCAACAATATTGCTGAATTATTATCAATGTTAGAAGCTGCAGTCTATGAACCAAGCTCATTAATTGATTCCTCCAATTGATTGATTAATTGATTAATCCATGAATTGATTCCTCATTAATTCCTCAAAAAGAAGTCTAAAATATGTTCTCCTTCACAATGGTAACATATATGCATCTGTTCATATTGCTCATTTGGTTCACTTGAAGGAAACGTACGAAAATCTCGAACTTCATCTTAATAAGGTTAAAGGCAAAGAATATGGTTGGCTACTTTGTGGAGACTTAAAAGTCCTTTGTATGTTGTTAGGTCAACAGTTCGGTTATACAAAGTTTCCATGATTTTTTATGTGAGCCAGTAGAGCACGAAATCAGCAGTGGATAAAGGAGCAATAGCCACGCAGAGTCAACTTGATACCAGGATTGAAAAACATTGAACGTGAAAGTCTGGTTGACACGAAAAAAGTCCTATTACCTCCACTTCACATAAAACTGGGCTTGATGTAGTAGTTTGTAAAGGCCTTATACAAATATGGCGACTGTTTCAAGTATCTATGTGGGCAATTCCCAGCTCTTTCAGAAGCGAAACTTAAAGAAGGGATTTTTGTTGGGCCTCAGATTAGGAAATTGACTTCGGATGAACAGTTCGAAAGGACAATGAGAAATGTAGAAAAAGAAGCGAGGATTACCTTTAAAGATGTTATTGACAAATTTTTAGGAAATAACAAGGATCCAAATTACAAAAATATTATCAATAACATGCTCGATAAATTCAAAGAGTTGAGTTGTAATATGAGCTTGAAAGTTCATTTCTTACACTCACACTTACTTGGTGTCGTCAGCGAAGAACAAGAGGAAAGGTTTAATCAAGATACCAGGGAAATGGAGAGGAGGTATCAGGGAAGGTGCAACATCAGCACGATGGCTGATTACTGCTGGTGATTGAAACGAGATACTCCAGACGCAATACATAAAAGAAAGACCATAACATTTAGTTTTGAGACTAAAAGACGTAGATTTCACAAAAAATCAGGATGAATAAGGATGCATAATCGTTTGACATCAATGCTCTTCCCTTTTCTTCAGTTTGTTTGTATTTCTGTTAACAAACATAATAATAACAAATGTTCATTGTGGTAAACCAAATAATAAGTTGAACTAAATAAGAGTTGTTTGTTCTTCCCGATTTGTAAAATGTTCTAACGTGATACAAAAAAATGAATATTATTTTCCAACTCTGCGTAGCTGAATTATGGAAAATCCGTTATTAAAACCAAAACAACTTTTATGAAGTTTAGATTCGCAACCCTGTGTTATTTATTAGTATTAGTTTTTACTTGAATTAACTTTACTATTATTCAAAAGAGCTGGTGAATCAACAAGCTAATCTTTTTGTTCCTATACACACTATACACACACGTATTTATATTTCTGGTTTCAGAACAGTTTCATAATTCTGTCGACACAGAGCTTGGGCTGTTTCGATACACAACAGCTTTGACATCATCGATACAAAATCATATTGTTCATACTTTCAGGGGTCCTAAAAGGGAAACAGGTGGAACTGGTTTATTCTGAAATTGATACAGCTAACTTAGTCTCATGTAAATGCACTATGTAAGCGCCTTAAATAATTTTCACAACATGAATCAGCATAGTCTTATCTGTACGCCAAACACAAGCGTTTCATTTTTTATTTGTGTGGAGAATATTGCTGTAGTTAAATAGAGGAAGGTCCATTGAGAGACGTGTGAAAACGTTTTTAATACTAAGAGAGTGGACGTTTATCTCGGTCTTTTGTCTTACGAAAACTGTCATTGGAATTTAGATAATAGATAAAGCACCGATAATCGCACAAAAAATAATAAAAAGCACAGGGTAAATGTTCATGTTTGCTTTCTGATACAGAGTTTGTTGACGATTTCAGAAAGAAGCACAATGAAGATATTACAGCAATTACGTATATGCAAATAAGCATACCATTTAAAATGGTAAGTATAACAAAGAATCTATTTGAGACAGCAGGATCACCAAAATCGATAAAAAACTGATTTTTTTTTCTGACTCTGGTTACCATACTACAGAAGAAACTAGTTGTTCTGATACAAAATCAGAATACTTACCGAACGTCTGCAGACTAAAAAACTCAACATATTTCAAACTGTAACATTTATGTAAGTTGCAATAACATCTTTGGAAACCACGAACTGTGATGAAGAAGAATTAACATTGAAACTCACACAGCTGCTGCATTTGCTCAGTGATTTTTACATTGATTCTGAGTAGAATTAAAGGAAACATTACAAACCCGGATGCCTACAACATTTTTTATATTAGAATCCTAAGGGCCAAACACTGCTATCTTTGTAAGAACTTTACAGAAGTGATTTCAAGACATAGTAAACATGTTACTTGTTCAGTGAAAAGAGAATCCAAAAACAGGTTTCATGAAAGTTGATCAAGCCACTGACAGCTGTACTATACCTACCGCTCGGAAAATGTGATATTTGAATAGACTATGGATGTTTATCTTCGTGTAATATTACATTAATATTCTTGTAATATTATGGCTTTACAACTCTTAACTTCTGAGCTACCAAGTGATTTTTTCTAAAGCTAAACGTCTGAGACCTTCAGCAATATATACTCACCTGATCTAGCAGAGTAGAGAAAACTCTATGGAAAATGCAGTGAGGAACAAATATATCAAAGTGGAGACTATGTGTGGCTTTGATGTTTGCCAATAGCAGGGAAGCCTCTTGGCTCTGCCTATACAGTTCTGGCATGGCCTGGTGATTAGAACACTCGACTCGTAATCTGTAGCCGTAGGGGTGCTATAATGTGACAGTCAATCCCATTATTCATTGGTAAAAGAGTAGACCAAGAGTTGGCGGTGGGTAGTGTTAACTAACTGCCTTCCTTCTAATATATCACTGCTAAATTAGGGACTGCTAGAACAGATAGCTCTCGAGTAGCTTTGTGCAAAATTCAAAACAAATTAAACCAAACCATCTAGATAGGACCTTATATTGTGCTTCAATGAGTCGATTCATTAACATACGAGTTACAATAGTTAAAGTGTGCACAAAATCACATAGTATGCATAGATAAACTGCATCCATAGATGACTGATGAATCTTTGGTGAACTGGTTTGATCAAGAGTGTGAAAAGGAGGTAGATGTAGTCGGATGAAGATGAAATCATTGTTTTATACCACTCTGACCAAGAAGATGAGTATAGATGAGATGGGGTACTTATCTGGCTGTTCAGGATAATTCAGGTGAGGAAGCTCAGATCAAGAGACGAGACTCAGCTCTGGTGGTCTACAGAACTGATGACAATGATCTACCAATCAATGTGGCTGGAATTAAACCCAATCATAACAGCTAGGACAGTGGCTTTAATATCATAGCAAACGTAAACTTGAAGTACCCAGTGCTTTATTTGGTTGTGATAAAATCCTGCAGTTTGAAATATTTAGAGAAGTACATACGTTTCTAAATGTTTTGTTAACATTATTTCAGTACTGAAATGCATATTGTCAGTACACTAAGTGGAAACAGAAGGGGCCATTCAAGTGGTTAAACTTTGTAAACCAAAACAGTGTTATTAGAAAAATTGTAATTTAAAGAAGAAACTGCAAAATTGTTAATGTATTCTACAGTCAAATGCAAAAATTAGCATTTCCTAATCTGAGTCAGAATCTGTGAACTTTGTATAATTGCTGCTTGATTAAGGTAATTCGTATGTTTACTCAGCCTCTGATCATCTGAACAAGTAGATTTCATTGACCTTGCATTTTCAATCGAGACCTTTGCTATTTATGGTCAAGTTCTGGACTGTCTTGTTCTTCAATTAGCCAGAGGTATCTTTTCAGTACTGTGTGCTGAAGTTTCTATTATTTTAAGTTGTTATGGAAGGAAGAAGCTATGGTGAACAAACCTAAACTCAAAACTTCCTATCTGGCAAGGATCTGGAATAAACTTACTTTCCACCTGGCAGAACCCGTGGATAAATATTCATTGTTGTCCAGTGCATCAGACGTTTATCGAGTTAGTTGAAGGACTGGCTCTATACTTTTCAGGTGTTGAGCAATTCCATTTGATAGTCAACCCAGCTATGAACCCAATACCTCATCAAACAAAGTGCTGGCAATCACCTTAGACACCATTTCACAAATAACAACAACAATGTTGATTGACTTGAGCCTGCTACGTCCTCAGCCACACCCATTAACTGCAACGAAATTAGCAGTCAAAAAGGAGAAATGTCAGATGTCTCGGCATCAGGAATCTTTCTTTAGGTGTCCTATTGTAAGGTGTCTAATGACAGAGAAGCATAGGCACCAAATGTACACCCACCTTTATTAGTGCAAGTCATTTTGGGTATGTGCTAGATTTCTTGCACGCTAAGGAACGTTTATTTAATAAGTATAATGTGAAACAGGATCTAGAAGAATAAGCCACAGAGAATATCCAGTGGTAGCAATAGTCCATTATATTCTAAAGCAGGTACACACGCCGTATTTGTGTTTAGTGTCAATAAAGATTGTTCATTTTGTGTTTTACTTTGTGCCCATTCTTTTCATTTCATTTTATATCGAGTCAGTTAGTAAGAAATTTAGTATTACTCGATCTGTAATTGATATCTTTAGCGAATCCATTGTTATCTAGCGGATCTATCCGGTATAGCTTTAAAGTTAGTTCAGTTTCACCTGGATGTACCACAGTATCTGGAGTAAGTGAGCTAATTCCTATTCATAGGCTAGATCTTTATGCCTTAGCTTCCGAGTTAAAGATTTTAATGGCAGCCTGGTCAGCGAAAATGCTCAACCTGAATCCATTCGGAAAACAAGTCAGTTTTTCTTGAAGAAAGATACATTTCTCTACTTGTATACACCATTCGAAGCTGCTTTTAGCAGTTCCTGTAACCAAAGATGAGAAAACCTTCAGTAAACTTGCCTTCATAAAAAGCATGTATCGTTCCATGACTCCAGATGAAAGGTTAGAAAATCTCACCGTACTAGCATGTGAAAAAGTTCCGACTGAGACCTAATACGGATTTTAAGAAAAGGAGCTACACTGAAAGGGAGGCATATTAGTGTAAGAATCGTGGTCACTACTTATTATTATTTTAAGGAAAGATGTTTTTGCACAATGTTGTACTGGTCACTCCAACATAGTTCTTTATATTTCGGTAAAAACATACCATAAACTAGGTTGTTGCTTTTACATGTAATGTTTTTTTTTAATCAACGCATTTTTTTTTTGTTGCTTATAACTGTAAATCTCTTCTATACGAGACGATTCATTGCATGTCTATATTTAGCAGCTCTATATATTCACTTGTAAAATTGTTTACCAACGTACGTTTACCCTCCAACTCTTATTGGTCTTAGTTGCACCCACACCCTACGTAATTATACATAAATAAAAATACATTGTTTTCTTAATGAATAATTAAATAAATGTATTATATGTTGATTTTTTGTTATAAAACGTGAATTTGTTAATAAAATACGTATATTAAGAAAACAATCTGGCGCTTTACCACGCAGAATGCAGCATTTACTGTAAAAACTGTCATGTTATTTGAATAATACAGGGAAAAATTGTGAATTTTTTTCCCGCAATATAATAGCCTTGAGCAAGAAAATGCTATTTATAGTTTTACGAGAATTTTTCTCTTTATTTTAACTTATAAGGTTGTTACGCCACGCCCGAAATATCTGCGTTAAAGTAACCTGCAAGTTGTCACAGTATTCTCGAGGACAGTTGGAAGCTGAAGGAGTGGTTTGTTTTTAAGTTTTGCCGTGCCACAGTGTGGATTTTCCAACAAAAAGAAGAACAGTGTGGATTCTTGGAGAACGTGAGATGTCATTTAAGAAATTATATTTAAATCCATAATTAAAAGTATTATTACTTAATTGGTGTTAATTGAAATGACAAATTTCTATACTTGTACATCTTGTGACTAAGTGAGTGCTTTAGGGAATGAAATAATGGTAAAATTAAACTGAACTTGAAAATACACTGACTATACCAGTGAAACTTATTGTAGTAATGTAAGAGTGACTAGTAGTAGTATTAGTAATTCCATTTGTGAGATCTTACTTAGTGCTAGTACTTAACATTTCTAATTGAACATGTTGATTTGTGTGATATACCTGTTATGTATTACTCGACAATCCTTCATAAGAAGAGATCAAATTTAAAGTTTAGGTTTAACTGGAAATTCAAGTGTTCTGTTGGATAGAATGTTGTATGAAAACAAATGAAGAAAACGGATAAATTTATTGAGCACGGATTAGTTTGCTCATAAATTAATTATTACTTGTTCTGAAGACTGTTAATGTGTATACCAATATTTAAAGTGGCTTTTTGGCTAACACATTCAGTTATTTTTAGATTATTGAACATTCAACAAGGACAGACTTAGAAATGATTCTAATAATTAGGTATGGGTTACGAGATATTTCAATTTTGGAAATAGTAACCGAGTTTGTATAAAGTTGGAGACTGAAGGTGATAATTTCTTTCTCATAAAAATAAAGCCTCTTAGTTAGGGATTCCTTTCTGAAATAAGATGCCATTAGGAAAAAATTATTACAAATGCAGAGAAGGTATTTTAAGGTTGGGGGGGGGGCAGATAAACATAAAATTTAAGAACAACAAGAGGCTATTGGTTTGTCTAGGGCATTTTATCTATTTAACAAAACCAAAACAAAGAAATATCCTATTCAAGTGTAAATATAGCTATAAATCTCTTTTCTACAGAATGATTCATTGGTTGTGAAAACTGAATAGCATATGAATGATATGTAAATAAAGTATGTCTTTTAGCAGCTCTATATCTTCACTTAGTAGAAAAGTAAAACCGTCTTACCTAAAGATGCCTCCTACTTTACAAAAATTTGTACTTGTATCACTTTGTTGCACCATTCTCAACATTAAATATGAGAAAAGATGTTGCATCAACATTACTAATTCCTTTAACAATCTTAAACACCTTAGCCAGATTCTCTAACATTTACCTTGGGGGGGGGGGGGATAAAGTAATGGAGCTTTTAATCTGTCTTTGTATGACAACCATTCCATACTTGTTATAATCCTAGTAGTTTTTCTCTGAACCCTTCTCAACCATTAAATGTCCTTCCTAAGTTAAGGAGCCCAAGACTGGACACCATACTTAAGTTTGTTTGCCACTAACAACAGCATAATACTTAGGTGGCTTAAGAAGAGCAAAAAAAATATTTTCTTCCATAACAGTATTTGTTATTCCCATCCAAATTATAATTCAAATTATGATATCCCACATGCAAAACCTGCATTTATTATAATTAAAAGCACTCTTTCCTTTACTTTCCCAATTCTCCAAATGATCTAAGTCCTTTTGTAAAGCAGCAGTATCCTCCTAGCAATTGGAAACAACCAAGATCTTTATCATCAGCAAAAGTAAGTACTCTGTTGACCATCCCTTCATTTGTCTTTAATGTAAATCAAAAAGAGCAAAGGTCCTAACACTGAGCCTTGAGTTACTCCACTTGTGACATTAATTGGGTTTTAATGAATTCCATTTATAACAACCATCTAGCTACTTTTCATCCAAAGGGTCAACCTGTACCCCCCCAACCTACAAGCCTTTTATGTGGCACCTTGTCAGATGCTTTATAAAAAAATCCAGATGCACCAAATCTACTCCTGTTCCCTCATCTACATAAACAGTAACCTTTTCAAAGAATGTTAAGACTCGTAAAGCAAGTTATTTTTTTTTTTTCCTGGTGAAATAATGTTGACTATTCAACAAAATTTTCAACTTTGTTAAATAACTTTTCAAAGCCTCTTTTTATTGGACTTTCAAAAACTTTTCCAACAATTGTTGCAAGACTAATGGGCCTCACTACTGGGACAATTTTATCAGCTTCTTTGAAAAGAGTAGTAACATTAGCTAACTTCCAATCTTTTGGCACTTGCCTACTATTCAAGAACTTGCAAAAATTATTTGCAAGTGGCTCACATATTCAACTCTTAACATTTTTCAAATCCCTTGGAGAAATATCAGACTGGGGAGACTTATCACTCTCTACATTTCCCAGTTTTTTTTATTTACAAGCTTAAAATTAATGCTATCAACTTGTTTCCATCTAGCAACTGTTCAGGACAAGAAATATTGCTTAAATCTTCATTAGTATAAATTGAAGTAGAATTTAATGTGCTAGTCATCTCATGATTATCAGATATGACCCTTACTTTTATTATCCCTCAAAGGCTCTATCCCATCCTAACATTTTGCTTGCTCTTAAAGTATTTAAAGAAATTCTTTGTTAATTTTTACATATACCACCAATATATATAATTTTTTTTTTCTTATCCCCTTTTCAGTTTTCTAACTTCCCATTTGACCAACTCTCCTTATATTCTATGACCCTCTTAAGTCTCCTATTGTAACAGTCAATTTGAACTTCTTAACTTTATAATGATTTTCTATAATTTGTATCTCTTATCATTTATGAACCAACATGTTTATTTGCATCTCCCTGTTTTTTCTATAATGAATGTTTTATATTTAAACTAAAAATATTTTTTACACATTTAATTAGTATCTCAAATTAATCCAGTTGCTGATCTTTGTAATATTAAAGATATTAAAATGGTACAGTAATGTGTTAACTTCTTAGAATTTTAAGCATTTGATTGTTAATTTAAAACAACTCTTCAATCATGTTATTTGTACAAATACATCAACCTGTATTTTTTTTTCATATATATTTATTAAAAATTTTCACGTTAAAATTCAAAGTGAAACTGATGTGAATAATACTAGAACAGACTTCTAGTGTAATATATCTGTGCAAACAGTACCAACTGTGTCATACTGAATTTATTACTTTGTATATTTATGTTGTGTTTTGGAGCCAAAAGCCAGTTTTTGTTCTCTGAAGGGGAGAATTGTTTGACTGAATTTTGTAAAATAAAGTGAATAGCTTTTGGTTGACTTTTTGTGTGTGTGTGTGTGGCGTTAATTATGTTTGCTTGTATATAGTTTCTATTATAAGCTAATGAATGCTACAGCTAAAAAGTTAATAAAGGTGTTTTTATTTTAAGTGTTTCTAGAAGTACTAGTAAAAGATTGTTTTTTAACTTTTGACTGTTATTCTTTTTATTAATTTTCTGAACTAAATGCACCAAGTGCATACTATTTGTGAATTTTTAGTACAAATACAACCAGGTTAAATTTTAATTTGTTTCAGTTGTTTAAAATACCTTGTCTGCACTAATACGAAGTACTGATATGGTTGGATACTTATTGATGATTGATAATGGGTAATAAAATTTTAGTTGATTTATCTCTGTATAAGGAGCAAACCAGAAAATCTAAATAGTTTTACTTCTTTTCAGTTTTTCATTTTGGTTACTAAATACCATTTAGTTTGATTAAATATCTTGTTCACTGCACCTGAAATTAAAGAGTGTTAATGTGAAGGTTGTTCAATCTGGAGATAGTTGAGAGTGGGTTTCAGAAGGTTTAAGGTTTGTTATAATTACTTGAGCTGTAATTTGTTTTGTTTTTTCACATCCTTATTCTTTTATCCATTTTGCATATATAACTAGAAGCATATTAAAATAGCAAATCATTCTGAAATGCTATTTGTATTTGTAGTAAAAGAACTACATTATTCTGAGTTTCATTTTTATGAAGTGAGTCTAATAGCACAATCTGGTTATAATTGACAGGAGAGAGAGTGCATTGTGAACTGCTGGATTGTTGTCATTGTTTTCTTCATTGTAGAAATAGAGTTTAATAGCTGGGAACATGCTCCATACTTTCATTAAGTAAATTGTGTTTGGTAGTTTAACTGTTTGGAGTTTGGAAGTACATGTACTAGCAAATGCAAACTATTCATATTAAAAATAGTAAATTTTTGTGGTAGTAAGATGGTTTAAATAACATGGCTAAAGGCCTGTATAAATAGGGACTGTGTGTGTGTGTGTGTGTGTGTGTGTCAAGTCTTGGCTCTTGACATCAAGTGACAAGAACTGAAATATTATACATGTTGAGGCTAAATAAATGTTCAGTACTCGTTTGATGTTAGTTAAAGGTTAATGTGTAGGATAATTCATGGTGTGTGTGTGTGTCTCTCTCTCTCTCTCTCTCTTTTTGATATCTTTGGTTTATTGTGCTCAGTTATCATTGTCTTATATTTTGTGCATTAATATTCTGTAATAATGACATGTAAATATGAAATAGGGGATGTAACTTTCATATCTTTCCCTAAAACTAAAGCTTGTATGTTTGTATATATTTTTTTATTCATTTATTTAATTTTTTTCACATTGGAAGTGTCTTAATTTTGAAATCTATCTGAATAGATCTAAATACACAAGTATTATTATCACAGTAGGTTAAATCTGCAGTATTTTTGTACTGTTCTAAATTTTTGTGAAGTTAATAGGTACGATCACTAATTCCTGATGTATTGAACTAACAAGAAATAGTTTTGGTTTCATGTGTCAAGTGTACTGTTTATTTCATTTAGTTAGAAAATTGCCTTAACTTCCCCCTTGTTGATTTTGCATTCATAAATGAGCAATATCCGCCGCTTCAGTTTACACATTACTCTGTGACCACACTGTGTACAGCTACTGGCATTTGTTCAGATATGTGATGCCCATGATTAATTAACATATGGAAATATAAATATTTTAGTTAACTGATATTCATATTCCCAGCATGTTTACTTAGACTTGTTCAATTTAGTTGTATTGAAATATTCCACAATGTTCTAGTTTTTGTTTTTACAATTTTAAAATAAATGTACTTTTTTTTTCTTTAACTTAATGCAGTAAATGAGTAAAGATGCATAATTTTTGTAAAAGATTCATAATCTACTATTGACAATATGTTCTCATTAAAGTTCTTCTGATTGTTTTCACATTGTACTGTGTTATTCAGTATCTAGTAATTTTGTATATTATTAATAATGAAGGCAAACTACTTGAAATCCCCCTCCCCCATAAAGAAAAAAGTAATTTCTTGTTTTTTTTCTATTTGTTATGAAAATGTACGTGTAATATTAATACAATCGTATGAATGTGAAAATTCTAGATGACCAAATTGTGTTCTGGGAATTTGCTTAATGACTTGCAGAATGATTGACATGTAGGATTATAGTTTGTATAAGTATTCTAAGATAAACATTAACTTTATCTGCATAAGGATCTGCTCTAACTAAATGCTTTGTTTTGAATTCTTGCTCTAGATCTCTTAGAGAGGAAACTTGTATTTTAGTTTTTCATTGTTTAATTGAACAATTCTTTGTTGTTGTTTTATGTAGTGTTAGTTAGTATTATGAATTATTTTATTTACATTTAGTATGCCAACTGCCACAATGGATGATATAGAGCTAAGAAATGTTGAGCTGCAGATCCCCATAATGAGAAGTTCATCAAGGAGTGAAACATACAATCAGGTAGGAAAGATGTAAAAAGTAATTCTTTATCAACAAACCATTTTTAAACCCAGATTAAGATATTATGAAACTGCATTCATTGTTTCTGTAGTTTGGCTCCAAGAAATTTGTATTTAGTAAAAATAGACTTGTCTTTTTATTTTTTTATTTTTCTTTAGCTTCTGACTCGAATTTAAAATAAACTGAAATTAGTATCCCAAGATAGCTTTATTGTTAATATGTAGTATTGAAAATAATTATGTAAAATATGAGCAAAAGGGTTACTCTGTGATT